TATAATTAATATTAATTTAATATAATATAAATAATATATATAGTATAATAAATTTAATTTATTATACTACATTATTTATATTTATAGTATAATATATATCTATAAATATATATATTTTATAGTATAAATAATGAGTGGCTTGAATACTGTATTTTAATTCTGCCAGATAATTATAAGCTTAAAATGAAACTGTAGCTCGTTAGTTTTAATAGTGGTTTAATGTAATATGTAAATGAATACATATACATGAATTGTTTAATGTGTTTGCCATTTTTTGCAAATTTAAATTTCATTAAATTATGAAATCAGTATTTAACTAATTTTGTATTATTTCAAGTGTTGTTTAAATTTCTATAAAACTTAACTTAAATTTAAGAATTGTTATATATTAAAAATGTTATGCGAAAAAATTAGTAGGATTCTTTTTGTGTTGTGTATGAATATATGTCAAAGAATTTAGATGAAATATCAAAAAAAAAAAAAAAAAAATAAAATAAAATATGCGAACAATGTTCGGATTTCGATAAACAGAAAGTTTTTAAAACTAAAGATACACACAGAAAAAATGATGACCTATTTGATAAAACTGACGGGCAAAAATTTATCGACATGTATAGTAAAGAAGAATATATTTGAATTACATTTTTTTGGTCAATTTGTTAACGTTATTTTATTTATTATCGATTTTACTATCGAATTGATTATTATCTGTGCTCAATTATAAATAAGTATAAATGTTTTTTTAGAAACTGATCATTTCACATTAGAAATATCAATACATGAAGTGTCAATAGGTTTAATGTTAAATGTAAGATTTTTTTCTATGAGTTGATAACATTTTACTAAATAAAAAATAAGAAGATAGATTCCTATTTCTATCATTTTGATTATTTTAAAGTTCCTGCATAACTTGACCTAAATGTGAGAATGGTTCTAAAGTCTAGTAATTTTTAATATATATTATTATTATTCATATTAATTATATATATATTAATTAATTAATATATTTTATTAATATAATTAAATGATAATAATATAATATAACATAATAATATATTATTATTATTTTTAATAATACATTAAAAATTACTATAGACTATGAAACATTTTATGTTTAACTAACTTTCTATCTTTTTAATTCTTTCAAAGTTTCTATATAATTTGGCTTAAATAAAAGATAAATATGTTATCTATTAATAGGACAACTGTGGACAGCACCAGAATTATTAAGAATGGAAAGGCGACCACCCGAAGGTACTCAAAAAGGTGACGTTTACAGTTTCGGAATAATCGTACACGAGATTGTCATACGGAAAGGTCCTTTCTATTTGGGGGATAATTGCAATCCAACGCCTAAGGGTGAGTTTTCAATTCAAAATCATCTCATAATCGTAATCGTAATCGAAATCGCAATAGAAATAGCAATAGCAATTGCAATCGTAAAAAGTAATGGTCGTACTATGCAAGTTAACTAGTTGCTAATTTTTTTTAAGCATAGGTTTATAACAACTTACGTAAATGGTATCATTTCGTTAACCATAAGATTAATCCTCTTATCTCTCTTTTTTACCACTACGTAACTACATACACTGTGTGTGTGTGTGTGTGTGTGTGTGTGTGGTTGACCTTAAAATGATAAACTTAACTTTGAAATTTAATGAGAAAGTTTGTAAGAAAAGTTTGAATCTAATCAAAAAGTGTTTATTACAAATTTTTATCTAAAAATGTTTTCTTACAAATATTAACACTGTTTATAATTATTTTATACATTTTGATAAATGACAGAAAATGCATGTTTTTTTTTTCTATTAAAAATTATAAATAATTTTTCTTAAGTTTAATGGAGTTTTATAGGTTTTCAAATAATCAATTTTAAATATACATCAAAGCTTATTTTTTGTATTGAAAGTAAGAAAAACATTTTTGAAAATAATTTTTTATCTTTAAATAAAAATTTCTTATAAAATATTAAAATATTTAACCGAATATTTTCGAATCTCTCCCAATAAAATTAGAAAGTTATTGCAATCAATTTTTGAAACCTTAATCTCTAAATCCAATCATTGGCTCAAATAATTTTCGATAATTTCATTTTCGTTGGATCGTTTAGATGGAATCATGTTTGCATCAACCAGAAATGTTGTTTCGTCGATACTCAGATTATATCATTTTCATCCCAACTTTAGCTTAAAGCTTAGAAATTCGAGATATCTAAGTTGTTCAGTATATTTCTTGTTACATATAAATCTTAAGAGGAATTTAACAATTGAATTATAGAACAGAAGAGATTCGTAATTAAATAATATTCAAAGTACAAATTGATAATTCGTGATTATATAAAGAAAGAAATTGAAACCTCGAAATTGTACCTTTTATTTTTACTCATTAAAAAAATACGTTTATTTTTTATTTCTTTCTCTTTGAAGGATATTACAATAAAGTAACCAAAGATCTGACGGATTAATTTTACGTTGAGAATAAAGTACCACTTTCTTTGTAAACATCTCTTAATGCATTTTATTCTTATCGAATTAAAATGAATTACGATCGATATCAGAAACAACATCCTGTTGATGTTTAGAATGTTAAGGCTGTTTTTTGCAAAAACAATTCGTCAGATATGGGTCAATAATTTGAGTTTATTTTACAATTAGAACGAAGATATTTGAAATGATAATTCTTCTTAGATCTATGCAAGGTTAGTAATGTCAAACAGCACTACTTTCATGCTAAAAAAAATGAGAAAATTATTATAAAAGTATAAGAGTACGTGAAAAATAATTAAAAATATAATTCAAACTTTTAATTTATAATAGCAATCTATATTATCATTGATTGCTACTATCCTAATTTATATTTACATCATTTCTTTTTCAAATTTTTTTTAATTGTTAGTTGTTATGTGAACATCACACTAATAGTTAATTTATTTTGAAATAAACTTTATTACAAAAATGAAATTTTTGTCGATTTGCTTGTCATAAATAGGAACAGAATTTTTTCTGTTATGATTGGATCGGTTTCTCTTTTGTTTTATTTAATCGTTGAAATGTATTCAGCCATTGTTCTGTGCATTTTGTTGATAATATACATAATTACTAGATTCAATTTCTGGAAGAATGCTTATTTCTTCTTTTTCCATGTTTTCCATTAAAAATATTTCATTTTCCATTAGAAACTCTAAATGTAATCAGTAAATGAATTATTAAATGATTACAATGATATAATAGAACAGATCTTTCATTTTATTCATTTCAAACATTTAATCCCTCATTAGAAACATTAAAAATAACCATTAATTAAATTACAAAATGATAACATTGGTGTTATCAAATTTATTGATTTATTTATTATGTATTTCAACAATATTTACAACTAACTGAATTCAAAATACATCAACTTTTTCTATTTTTACGATATTCAATAGATCCAATGATAAATAGTGAGATTATTTTAATCGAAAAGTAACTATTATTGTACTTGTCATTCTTTTAAAAGCTTCAACTGGCGCCTTAGCTAAAAATATTCTGAAACAGCAAAATATTTCTTTTCGGTCCAGACATATAAATAACTATTTCGAAACAAAAAAAAAAAGATATCAAATGAAAAGACACGTAGGTTAAAGAAAATATAAAATTATAGTAAAAATAGAAGAATATGAGTCATCTTAACCCCAGTGAACATATAAATTGATATAAAATTTTCCAAATTAAAACATTTCACTGTTTCTAAAACAACAATTTCTTTTTTAAAGAAAATTATTATGCGATTTTTTACAGTCAATCGTATCAAGAATTGGGCTGCTTATTTATAATATTTCTTACATAGGTAGATTTATGGGGATTATTTATTTCATCTAATTTTTATACGTAAAAGAAAACCACATAATTGAAGTTTCCAATAACACAATAAGAATATTAAAAATAAATCTGGAATAAATTGTAAAAATATTAATTTCATAGATAAAAATTTGTTGATTTAAAATCAGAAAAATGAATCAAAATAAATTTGATTCGTTACACGTGTCAGTGTTGTTATCTAAACTGATTTTTTTTTCTTTTTTATTATTATTACGTGTTATGTTTTTATTGCTTACTATGTTTTTTACAAACATTCGTTATAATGCTAATGTACAAAAAGGAATTAACTGATGGAGTAAATTGAAACCGCGTAAACAAAAAGATTATTTTACCATGAATAACAAATACTGCATATTTTGAGAAATCAGGGTATTAATACATTTTCAATTTCGTGAAAATAAATACGAACAATTATTCTTCATTGAATTTTATTCTGCTTAATATTTCTTTTTTATTTTAACATAAAAATAATTTTTATTTGGTATTATTTATTCATTACTTTTCATAATCTATAAATAAAAATCAACGATATTATCGATCATTGGTTTCGTTTAATAATTTAACTGCATTATCATAAGAGTCAAAAATTTTTGATTAACTAAAATACATAAATCATTAGTCTATAAATATACAAAGAAAAATAATTTACTATAAAACTAAAGAATACAGAAGTACATAAAAGCTCACAAGTCCCGTTTTTTATTTAGCTGGACTTATTTTACAATTATTTATGCACCGGGATCACCAGTGAGCGATAGTAGAAAGCTATGTTACCGATCTATGCTAATTATTATCATCCATCGATAAATATTTTCTACAAAAAAAAATTATCTGATTTGTTGTGATATAATAAATTAAATTTATTATAAGATTTGTAATTTTTTTTAATCAAATTATTTGTACTAGAATTTTCAACCACTAATTATTTAACAGAGAGATAACTTACCGACAGAGAAACAAAATTCAAAATTTCTCTTGGTAATGAAATATAATTTTTAAAAGCTTTTCTATAACAGTTTCCTAAGTATTTCGAGTTATCGACAAAGTCGGTAAAAAAATTTCGTAAGCTCGAGTATCCATCAAGCCAAAGGATCGATCTTCATAATTCGGAATGAGAAAGTCGGAGTACAATCGCGAGGAAGCTGTCGGCGAAAGCTCAGTCGAAGCTTTAACGCGTCCTGGAACACATTTCGCGCGCGCTCCTTTTGTAGTTTCATTTTCTTTCTCTGTCGCCTCGAGCACTGCTTCGTGCTTTGTCTCTCTCTCTCTCTCTTTCTCTTTCTTTATTTCTCTCTGTTCTTTTTATTATTAATTTTCTAATTTTTCTTTTCTTTTTATCTTCTCTTTTGTGAAGACACGTGAAATAAGTGAGATATGTTAAATGTTTAAACATATTCATTTTAAATTATGTAAGTAAAAGATTAGAAGAGTTCTAAACAAGGCAAATTTCAAATCAAATTTCATATTTATTTCATTTGTTTATAAAAAAATCGAATTTTATTTCGATATACTTGTGAACAAGGGTGCAGTGTTCTGCTCTTAGTTCATTTTATTTATTTCTAATTTCTCTTCCACTGTTTCTTTTTTATTTTGTAAATCGTTTCATGCAGACATGTGATAAAAGTGAGGAACTCATAAATGTTTGTTTAGATTTATTTATTATTTAATTGTATAAATGAGAGATTGAAAGAGATTTTATAGAAACAGTTTTGAATCAAATTGGAAATTTCTTAAGCACGTTTACATGATCGAATTTAACTTTAGTGTTCTCGGGAACAATGTGCAGCACATTGCACTTTTTTTTACTTTTATTCTCTATTTCCCAATTTCACTATCTATCTTTCTCTTTATTCTCGATCTTCAATTTACCTATCTCTTTCTCTTTCTCTCATCTCTAATCTCTAATCTCATTTTTTCAATTTCACTATCTGTTTCTCTTTCTCTCTTGTATTCTCTTTCATAAAGACACGTGAAATAAGTATAACTTATAATTATTTATAAATTATATATAATTTATGTAGTAATTCATTTTATCTTGGATAGTAACAATAAATAATAGGTAAATTATATATTTAATTATTATTATATATAATATTTATTATTATTTATAATATAAAATATTATATTATGAGTTATATTTATTTAATAATATTATAAATAATAAAATATAATAAAAATATTAAAATAATATACTATTTATTATATTATATTATTATATATATATATAATTTTATTATTATTTATTATTACTATTCAAGATATACTATTACATAATATATATAACTATTATATATTTTTATATATAATTTAATTATTATTTATTATTACTATCTAAGATAAAATGAATTACTACAATTATTTAAGATAAAATTTTGAGAATTACGAGTAAAGTTTAAAATAATCGTAAAAATTTATTTAGGTATTAAGAGATTTATTTACGTAGGATAAAATTTTCCTTTAATGTTCTCGTAAATGAGTTTTAGAGCACCTTATCACTAT